ACGCAGTTAATCGAATAAAAAGATGTTCAATCTTCAAACAGAAAACTGTTTCACTTTTGGCAGAATAGATGTTAACGAATGGATATGTGGCCCCACCGGGTTTCTTTCAATCCATGTCATTGTTATAAGAATTAGCATTCGGGCTAGGGGTAGGGCTAGGGTTAGGTTTAGAGGTAAGGGTTATACTCTAGAAATAAATTCAGGGTTTAATGTTTGGCCATAAGCGTTGTTAAGTTAAATTACATCTTAAGTCTGCATTGTTGTCTTGCTTCCTCTTTTAATGTCACTGATTATCACAGACGCTGGGAGTGGGTTGTTTGGAATATCTAACCAATGCTCTCGGCTTTGCTATGTTTGCGCGGTTGTACTTCGTAATTTTCAATATTCCAAATCGCTTGCTCCCGTAACTACTAGTGTATTTAAACCAGCTAGTCGACCAACTAGTACACTATTTCATCTGTTGCTTCCATAAAACAGCTTAATTTTCCTATTACTTACCCCACCCATTATAACCTATTTTTCTTGCCTCCCGTTTTCGGCGTGGGGCCACATATCCAGTCGTTGTCGAAGAGGTTTATAGCCAGTTTTACACTCTACGTACTCCTATCGAGACTACATCGAAACCACTCCACTACATCCAATTAATCTGTCTGTTCAGCAGCTGGCAAGTCCCTAGGCGTACAAAGGCAGGCGTACTCTCAAACAATCACTGCAAGACGGTGACCTAAGTTCCCATTTCTTGTTTTAGGGATGGTGTATGTATCCGTTAAAAATTGTCTCTAGTTTTTGCGTCTTCATCATTTAAAGGTTAATATGTTTTTAATAATTGTGCACAGACTATTGTGCGTATATCCTCTAATCGTCTTGTCTGATGTACACATCACACCCTCGAGGGTCAAGCTTTTGAAAGCAGACTTACCAAGTGAATGTGAGACCGGTGCTTCCGGGACCAGCATCCTTCATGATCGCAACGATCTGTGGAATTGTGAGTGTAGGTTCGTTCGCGATT